ACTTATTAATCTCCAGGAGATGTGGCATAAAAAGAGATGACTATGCCAAAGTCACAGGTTAAAGTGGGACAGTGTTTTTTTGTGTGTGGGGTGGGGGGTGGGGTGGGGGTTACCACAACCACTGCAGGTGTCCATAAGCTGTGTGTTTGTGGTACTTCAGCATCTAGTCTTCGTTTTTTTTAAATCAGATATCAGGTCTGTACATGTGAAATTATGTTTTTTCATATTGTGAAACATGCTGCTAAACAAACTGAGGCAGACAAACTGTGTTATTTGAAATCCTCTGCAGGTTAGTGCAGGATAAATAGGTTAGTTTTCTGCACTGTGATGGATTTAAAGTAGGGGTGGGAATTTAACACGTTAATTGCTATTTTTTTTTTTTTTTGAACAAATAACACATTCAAAAAAATAATGCATTTAATTGCAATTTGTATTCCAAGCAAAGGGGAACTTTTGTCAATGCACAATTTCCTGGTATACTGAATACACTGAGGCACACATCAGAGCGACTGTGCTTGACCCATGCTTTAAGGATTTAGAGTGTCTTGCAAGGGGAGAGCGAAAAGAGGTTTGGACCAGCCTTGAGGCCCTGCTGCAGGAACAGTGTAAAGATGCCACCACAAAGGAGCCAGCAAAGACAAAGAGCCTCCTCTTCTCTTCGTTGTTTTCAGACTCTGATTCAGATGAGGAAGCCCTGTGTAACAGGGCCCTGAGTTTGTACAGAGCAGAATCCACCATCAGCAAGACAGACTGCCCGCTGCAGTGGTGGTCCAGTCGAGCAGGGACCCACCCACAGCTGTCTGTCCTGGCCTGCAAGTATTTGATTAGTCCTGCCACTTCTGTCAGATGTGAGAGACTGTTCTCAGTTGCAGGTCACAGTAACAAAAAAGAAAGCTACCTTCAGCTCAGAAAATGTGAACAGACTAGTTTGTCTAAGTAACTGGCTGAAGAAGACGGACAGTAAATAACCATGGAGGTGTTGTGAGTCCAGTGGGATGGGGATTATGTTTTGCACTAAAATGTTCAATGATCACACTGTTTTAACCTAATGTACAAAATAAGGTTACTTAGAGTTTAAAGGTGAAGCTGTTGAAATAACCTTTTATGTTTCTGCCTTATCTTTTTTAAGAAGAAAACCTGCACTTTATGTTGACATTTTTATTATTATTATTGTAAGACAATACAATTTTGAAAATGTACTTAAAATGGCACTTTATTGTTAAGTCTGCCCATGTTAGGTTTCTCTGTTTTGGATTGAGTTAAATCCTTTTTTTTCTTCCAGAAATTAAAAGAGGTTGAGTTACAATACATGTCCATGTCTATTATTTGATTCTGTCACCCACTAAAACCCTTTTCAATTAAAAAAAAAAAAAAAAAGCACTCTTGGACAAATTTTCTTGTGTGATTAAATGCGATTATTCGAGATTAATTAATTATAAAGTCGCTAATTAATTAGATTAATTTTTTTTATTTGAGTCCCACCTAATGACAGTGTGTGACTGGTGCACAGTGGCTGTGGTTTCATGGTCAGAGTAACTTTACATCAAGTGTAGCAGAGACTCATTCACTGAATTCCACCTTCATACCAACTTTAGCACTCAGTAGAAATCGTCATATCGTCGTCACCCCCCCCCCCACACACACACACACACACACACACACCTGAATCCACTTGAACCCCTGACTGTACACATTGACTGTACCTGTTTAGAGGTAAAGTCACCCTCTACAATGCAGGCAACAGAAATATAGATTTTTTTTTCCTTCTTTTTCTTCCAGTTCAAACTGAAAATAATTAGGATTTAAAAAGATAGATTAAAGTTTGTATTCCCATCTACTGACATTATTTTATCATTATGTTGATATAGCACAAGGTTCAGTGCATTGTGCAAGACATAGAAATGTCTTCCAAAGATCTGCTTATACTTTCTTACTTTTTTACTTTTAATTAAGTATAGAAGTAAAGTTAAATCAGTACTTCACCTTTTTGTGGTGTGTTTCTAACAGTAGTACCTGTACTTCTGCTTAAGTACAGAATGTCTTTACTTTTGCCAACTCTGGTCAGAGGCCTTAAGAAGATCATTTGTAACCTTCACTAAAGCTGTTTCTGTGCTGCTATGAGCTCTGAAACCTGACTGAAACTCTTCGGATAAGCCATTCCTCTGCAGATGATCTGTTAGCTGTTTGACAACTACTCTTTCAAGGATTTTTGAGATAAAAGGAAGGTTGGAGGCCTGTAATTAGCTAATACAGCTGGGCCAAGTGTAGGGATGGGTATCGTTTTGGTTTTATCCGATACCGGTGCCAAACCGGTACTTTTGAAACGGTGCCGGTGCTTAAACGGTGCTCGAACCGGTGCTTAAAGAATGGAGAACACAAACTTTGTCCTAAAACCTCTCATGTTTAACTGTTTTCCACTTTTTCTTTGGTCATTTTAGCCTTTTTGGCCAGGGTGAAAGGAGTATCTGCCATCAAACAAGAAGACAGCCGCATGTAGCTATGATGATGTTTGCTAGTTCACCTTACATGCATTAATGTAATAACGTGGTTAGCCTACTCAACGTAAATTACACACGAACAACATTAAGCTACTCACACAGAGAAGAACGGCTGCTGCCACCATCATCCGTCATCATTTCTGCTACACTGGCAGGGCTAGGGGCCAGGACTCTCCTCTTCGGGTTTTTGGGGGATGTTGCAAACTCCGGGTCCGATAACAGGCACCACACCCGCAGTAGATGTGCTTGGTGTGAGGTCTCGCAGCAAGCTATCAAATACAGCGCATTTCTCGGCTTTTAAAAAAAAAACCCGCTATGCGTGCCAGGTGTTTCATCGGATTTGAGGTGTTACCTCCTTTGACAGTATCACAGTATCAGCTTAAAGCACTTGTTGCAGGCTGCTGAGTTTGCATATTTTGCTGTGAAGTACAGCCAGACTTTTGACCACTTCGCCTTGGGCATTTTTAATCTGTAGCTCTGCTCTAACAGAACGTACGTACCTGGACCCGCCTACGATCCTCGGAAACGTAAAATGATTGGCTAGAAGTGTATCACAGCTCAGAAAAAAAAAAAGCACCGAAATAAAGCACCGAAATGTGCGCTGCTTTTCGGTCTGGTTACTACCGTTTATGTCAGAACCGGTGCCATCATGGCACCGGACACCGGTACCCATCCCTAGCCAAGTGCTGGCTTTTTAAGTAAAGGTTTAAATACTGCCAGCTTGAAGGCCTGTGGTACATAGCCAATTATTAGAGATAGGCCGATCATATTTAAGATTGAAGCATTAATTAATGGCAGGACTTCTTTGAGCAGTTTTGTAGGAATGGGGTCAAAAAGACACGATGGTTTGGAGAAGTAATTACTGAAGTTAACTCAGAAAGATTAATTGGAGTAAAAGACTAAATAAATAGTGTTACATCTGTGCGAGGATTATGAATATTTCTTTCTCTAATAGTTAAAATTTTATTTGTGAAGAAGTTCATTAAGTCATTATTACTAGTTGGTCTTTAGTTTGTCTCTTTGGGAGCTGACACAGGCGATGGGGCTTTGGGGGGATAACAGGAGAGAAGCTGCAGAGAGGCGTGTAAGACTGCAACTCTGTTTCCTGGTCCAAACTCTGGATAGTCACGTTTTGGTGGTTTTAATAAATTTGACCAGATTTCTAGAAATGAAAGCTGCTCCATCCAATGTGGGACGGATACCATCTCTCCTAACAAGACTAGGTTTCCCTCAGAAAGTTACCCAATTATCTATAAAGCCCACATCATCAAAATAAGCTGGCAGGCAGTGTTCGTGTTGCTTGTATGTGGTAATGTGAAGTTAAAGGCGCTGAAAACAGCCAAAGCATGAGTGAAACTCCAGCTGTGTGTTTAGAAGTTGGTTTCCTTGCCTCCTGATTGGGTAGGCCTTCAGAAATTTTAACAACACTCAGGGGGAAACACAAGTTTTTCTGCTGTTTTAAAGACGACATGTTCACATGCCAAGCTGACCTCAATATAGAAAGAAAGCAAATTCACCTGAGAATTCAGGTGTGTGACAGAAAACAACAGCAGTGTTCAGCAGAGCAGGAGAAATGTGTCTGAGGGTGTCCTCCATCAGATTCCTGTTAGTGTGTGTGTGTGTGTGTGTGTGTGTGTGTGTGTGTGTGTGTGTGTGTGTGTGTGTGTGTGTGTGTGTGTGTGTGTGTGTGCGCGCATGTGTTTCCTATTTAAACTGACCTCATTCCTCAGAGCGGGGGCTGCATGACATCATGCTGCTCGCTGCTGTCGATGGATGAAACTTTTCTGCACGATGACAGAAAAAAATAAGTCTCCTGATGTCTGAAAGATAAACAGAGAGCAGACGTGAACTTTTATTTTGGCACTCTTTGGCAGAACAGGAAACTGGGTCACGAAATGTTGGAAATCAAATTCAGCTGAACGTGACTTTAAATTAATCAAAACCAGCTGTTAACATCTGTTCACTGATGCTCCACACGTCACAGAATCAAAATACCACAACAGCGCACGTAAAAGTATAAAAATATAATCATCTACAGTCATGATACAAAGAAAGTTAAAAACAACCTCATAAGAAAAAACAACCTTGACACATTACACCGTGTCTTTATTTAATTAATGAAACTAAGTCCATCTCATATTTCAGCAGCAGTAAGTTGCACTGATGGTTCCTGTGTGACTTCATCAGTCCATCTCATCTCTGCGGGGGATTTTTAGTCCACTCTTTTTCACAGCCATGCTTTAGTTCATTGAGGTTTGCAGCATTCATTCATGCACAGCTCTCTGAGCTCTGCAGCCCTTCTAAACAGCCATACCTGTTAGTCTTTTTCTAATTGTGCTGTCATGAACTTTGACTTTTAACCTGCTAACTGATGCTTGTAGAGTCTGAGATGTAGTTCTTGGTTTTGTTGCTCAGTCTGACCTCAGGGTAAATTTGCTAGAGCACTCAATCCTGGAAAGACACTCACATTAAAACACCTGAATGACTCTGTATTTATTTCAGACTCCAAAGCCATCGTGGATGGGAATCTGAAGCTGATCCTGGGTCTTATCTGGACCCTGATCCTCCACTACTCCATCTCCATGCCCATGTGGGAGGACGAGGATGACGAAGACGCCAAGAAACTGACTCCTAAACAGCGTCTGCTGGGCTGGATCCAGAACAAGGTGCCCCAGCTCCCCATCACCAACTTCCACCGAGACTGGAGGGACGGCAAGGCGCTGGGAGCTCTGGTGGACAACTGTGCCCCCGGTAGGATCCCGCTGACACTGCACACAGTGTGCAGAGACGCTGATGTTTAAGTTAAAAATGATCAGTAAAAGTAGTTTAAATGTTTCTTTAAGACAGGAAGCTGACTGAGTTTGGTTTTCTTTAAAACGTTCCTGTGATTTAAAGAAAAGCGGCTGCTTTCCTCAGCTTCCAGGAAAATATAGACGCTGTCAAATAAAAACTTTCCCTGAAGCCGTCAAACTGTCAGTTAAAGTGAACATGTGCTTAAATAATCTGTGAGCTGATGTGAAGCAGCTGCTAAATCTAAACTATCGATTTGTTCCTGTGTCAAAGTTTTCTCCAGAAAACCTGATATTTAACTTCCTGTATCGATGTCTGGAGGGTTTGGTCATCGGCTGAGTGCTTCGCTCTGGAACTGATCCAGCCCCGCTAACCTGGAGTCAGGCTGTAAAAATGTCTTGACTTTGCAGGAAAAGTTGAAATCTTCACATGGAAGTTTGTACAGCACACTTGGGGAGGAGGAGGAGTTAATCCTCTTATCAGCTTCAGGCTCAGAGTGTTTCTGTGTTTCTGCTTCATGTCAGCAGCTTCAAGAAACAAGCAGCAGCTGAAATCTGCAGTTTCTGCTCTGATCCTCATCAGAGAGCAGCGAAGGACAAATATGTATAACTCATCAGCTTTAACGTTCAGCTAATTTTGAGTTTTTCAGTCCAGGGTGAGGTGTGCCGGATATTTTCTGATCTCATTTTTGAGTTTGTGAAGCTTATTATGCAGCCAGAGGCTCGTTACCTTTGTGGAAATGTGTTCAAGTAATTTATGAGGACAAAGTGTGTGTGCTCAGGGCTGATTACAAGAAACTGGCTGAACATATTGTTCCATATTTTTTGTTTTCATCATCATTTCTCTCTGATTAAGGTCTAACAGAAGAATCCTCCTGTTTTATGTTTAATAACAGTCACATATTTTATTCATGTTTTCTGCTCCAGTTTCATAAATGCTTTTTCTTTTTCTCTTTCATCATCGAAAACTTTTATCTTTAATATTTCCGTATAACAGACCTACATTAACTAACTGCAACACCTCCTCCATTTCCAGTTCATAGTCAGCACTAAACTGTGAAAATATTTACAAATAATTCAAAGTGCATTAAAATAGAAATGTTGAGAAGATCTTGTTACTTTGACTCTGTAAGTCTGACCCTCGACGAGGTTTGATGATGAGCGTCTGCTGCCTCTGTTTGTATGTAAAACCAACAAGAACTGAAACGAGTAAACCGGCTCAATCAAAATAAAACCTGTAATAACTAAACCTACAGTTTCATTACAAAGCTGGTTTCTCCTAGATTACAAAGTAAACCCGTTCATCCATTTATAACTATAAAATACAGACATAATTACAACAAATTTTAGACATTTGTTTGTTTTCTCAAGAATATTCTGTAATTTCACAGTGAAGCATATGCGAGTTAGAGAAAATTGTGCACATGAAACAGAAGTAGTCAAAGTGTCTTTTAATTATAAAGTACTCTGTAGTCAAAGTCCATAAAGAGCCCATATCACATATTTTTATGTTCATAATTTAATATGTGGCATAAATCGAATATGTAGTTTTTTTCATGTTAGTTTGTTATTAACTCCCAAACTTTGTCTCTTATGGAAATGAACTCGTGTCAGACATGTTCTGAGTTTCTAAAGCTTGAACAAAAAGGAACTCGCTACACAAATCAAGGAAAAATAAATCTTATTTTGAAATATTTTCTCTGCAAACTGTTAAGCAGGAGCTCATCGGATGTTCTGCAGCAGAGGCGACTCAGACTGAACGTCGTCCTGCAGGACAGACTAGTCTCCTGTACATAATGAAACCTCTCTGTCTGTGCTGCCTTCAGGTCTGTGTCCCGACTGGGAAACATGGGATCCCAGTCAGCCAGTGGAGAACGCCCGGGAAGCCATGCAACAGGCTGACGATTGGCTGGGAGTGCCACAGGTAACACCTACCTGCGCACGGACTGCAACACATTCAGTGTCTGTTCTCTGAGTTTCTTCTTACTGATTAATGAGAAAATCAGAGCCAAAATCTAGGAAACAGCTACAAAATAAAAGCCTCTGCTTCACTGAACATGGATGAATCAGGGATAAGTTGACCTGTATGCTGTTTATATCTGCCGGTGAGCTTTGTGGTTCCTTTGAATTCAGGCTCAGAGGATATATTTGTTACGATTAAATTGAACTTCAGAAATAGCAGTCGTGGTTGAGCCATGATCCATGTGGATGATTCACACGCTCGACTCTATTTTCAGCCTGCAGAGATGTGAGCAGGCTGCAGTTTAAATTAGCAGCAGAGCAGATGAGTCAAAGCGATTGTTCACTCAGTAGTCTGAGGCACGAAGTCAGAGTCTGAGTTCAGCTGCTGCCTAATTTCTGCAGGTCAGAGGTGAATTAAGCCTCTCTAATTTCCCAGAAAGTTTAATCATAAAATTTAACTGCCAGAGTCGTTTAAATGAGAAACGCAGAAATTTTTTAGTCAGAACTTGTAAAGAGAGGAATAATGTATAAATGTTTTCACAAGAAATTAGAGGGAAATGATTTGGTAAGGAGCGCTTAAGTGGAAAAAACACATAACGATGACAATAATGATAAAACTCTTTGCACTGTTCTCAGGTTGATTCAGGCGGTTTTCCTCTGAGATTTCAGACGTCTTCTCACTCTCCTTCGCTGAGCAAGCAGCTGTTTACCATTTCACCGACACCTCACGTGTTCTGTTCTTTTGTTATTTATGTAATTAAAAAACAGATTTTCTGATCAGATGAAACCATTCATTTTGATTTCCCTCCAGTTTCTCTTCCATGGAGGATTTTGGACTCGACTCCCTCAATCTCTTATGAACTCACTCACTTCAGCTGTTGGAGATTAGAGACGTCTTTATCGAGGCCATCTGATGTGTTTCTGGCAAAATGAAATCGTTTTTAAGTTTCCAGCTGTTATTTTTTAAATAAGTATTTGCAGCTGGAAATGTATTGATTGTAACAGGTTTACTGACATGTTCACAAGCTCATCAGCTAATTTATGTCCTACCACTCTGAGCTTCACGAGAAAGAGTAGGGCATCCCCTAATCAGAAGGTCGGTGGTTCGATCCTAAGCGCCTCTATTGTGTGTGTATGTGTGTTTCTGGGTTAGTAAAAAATGCTTAAAGACGTAAATTATTATAACTTGTTGTGAAAAGTGCTTTGAATGCTGAGTTCGAGTAGAACATTGCTATAAAAGGACCAGTCCATTTAACATAGTTCCAACTTAAAAGCAAAGCAAAGAAATAAAACTGCAACTAAATCAGGAGATGTTAAGCATAATATGAGAAAACAAATTTCTAGCTGCAAAACAATTTTCCTTGAAGGTTTTTAAACTTCTGAAGAAATCGTCAGTAAATGGAAAACTTACCTTACCAGTCATACAGGAGAACCGTTAGCAAGGACATGTAGTTCCAGTTCGATAAAGCTTGAGTGTGTGGCTGCTGTGTGTTGAGCTGATGCAATTTTCGTCTTGTCCTTCCTCTCCAGGTGATTGCTCCTGAGGAGATCGTCGATCCTAATGTGGATGAGCACTCTGTGATGACCTACCTGTCTCAGTTCCCTAAAGCCAAACTGAAGCCCGGTGCCCCCTTGAGGGCCAAATCGCTACACCCCAAGAGGGCTAAGGCCTACGGACCAGGTGAGTGGAAAATGCACAGGAACAAAGTTCATTAATCATACTTCAAGTTTTATTGAGGTTTTAGAAAAATTTCTGGTAGAATCGACTCATTGGGATTGTACAAAAAACGTATTGTAATACCTCAAAATTCCATCAATCATCATTTAGATATTTGTCTCATTACTCAAAACAAAGTATCTAATCTGAGGATGTCTTTGGGCTTATTTAACTCCTTTTTTGTTTCATAGATGAAACACTGAAGTGGAAAAAGATCATTGCTAAATTTCCAGAATATTAAAATGTTTAATAAATGCAGATGCACATTTAAACTGAAATCATGCTCAAATAGCAATTTTATTTGTACTGTTAGCTGAATTAAAACAAGTTTTCTAAATATGTTATCGACATCAGCACATTACAGCCCTAAATCCAGAAACAGTCAACTTTATTGTAGCTTCTGTTATTAACACGGTAATACCACATCTGAAAAACTATGTCGCCATTTACGTAGTTCGATGCTATCGGAGGACTTTCACAAACATTTCCATTCATTACTTCAAACAATAAAGTTACGTGTGATCGCTGTGTTTGCAGGTATCGAGCCTCGAGGTAACATGGTTCTGAAACCAGCAGAGTTCCTGGTGGAGACGGTGGAGGCTGGACTGGGAGAAGTTCTAGTTTATGTGGAGGATCCAGAGGGACACACAGAAGAGGTGCAAACACACCCTCACATTAATTTAAAAGGACACAAAAGTTAAATATAACTGAAATTATGCTGCATCATTTCTGTCTCCATCAGGCCCGAGTCATCCCCAACAACGACAAGAACCGAACCTACTCTGTGGTCTACCTGCCCAAAGTGGAGGGGCTTCATAAAGTAAGAAGCTCTCACTGTAAGGCTGAAAGAAGTACAGTGGTTCTTATGTTATTGATCAGAAATACAGGGCCATGGTTCCCAACGTTCTTCATCTGATGGACCTGCACAGCCTATAACATGGACCCAGAGCCCTTCATGTTTGAAGGGGAACCCATTTACATTGGACAAGGATGACTTTACCATTTAAGATAAATAAATACAAATACAAATAAATGTCATCATCCACAATCATTAGCATAACTGTTCACTGACTCATCAATAACTGCATTCTCTTTCACCATTAATTATCACTTTTAATCATGTATGCATATCTATTTGCTACCATTTATCAGTTCCTTTTAACTTTAACTGGTGATGTCTGCTCAATTTTGGTCTCTGTAACTTTTTTAATGTTTATGTTTGAGCTAATCTTTCTGCAGAAGAACTCCCTGTGATGCTTATACCCCTGATTGGGGAATACTGAACCAATGACATGTATAACTCACATGGATCATGTGTGGATAAAGGAGCTGTTTCTTGTGTTGTCCTTTTGACAGGTTCTGAATGTTTCCTGGTTCCTTTGTCTTAGCTTTTGTTTAGTTCATGGAAACACAAATTTATGTTTGTGAACCTAACAGGCCTTTGCGGTCCTCTTCCACTCAGGTAAAGGTGTTGTTTGCTGGTCAGGACATCGACAGAAGCCCCTTCATTGTAAATGTTTCAAAAGCCATGGGCGGCGACCCAACCAGAGTTCAGGCCCGCGGGCTGGGACTGCAGCCAACGGGAAATGTGGCCAACAAACCTACATACTTTGATATTTACACTGCAGGTAAGTCTCATTGTATTGTTAGTTTGTCTGAGCTACATTCCCTTAATAAAAGAAAATTGATGAAAAGTTTTTCTTCCATCATTACTCTTGAAAGAACAAATTAAAACCAAAATTATGCACAAAAACATTTTGTGGTCTCTCGGAGGGACTCTGACTCTATATTTCCATTAGCTCTGGGTATCCACTGCTATATTTCCTGCAGATGACCTTCATTGTCTGATACTGTTCCAGTGACTGTCACATTCCTCCTCCATTGTTTAAAGGTCTTGTTATTCTCTGTCCGTACACCAGGAGCGGGTGCTGGAGATGTAGGCGTCATCATTGTGGACTCAAATGGCCGCAGGGATACAGTGGAGATTGTCCTGGAGAACAGAGGCGACAGTGTATTTCGGTGCACCTATGTCCCTGTCCTGGAGGGACCTCATGTCGTCTGTGTGACTTTTGCTGGGCAGCAGATTCCCAGAAGTCCTTTCACTGTCCACATCTCCGAAGGTGGGCTATTAACATTTACTTTATGTCTACAACACTACAAACTGACCTTTCTAACTCTTTCCTGCATTCTAGGTGCTAGGCAGTTCCTTCAGTGATTTAAAATGAAAACCACAATTTTGTCCTAAAGTCCTATCTTATATGTAATTCTTTAAATCTGCAGATATATTTTTATTTCATTCATTTAATATAGTCAACTTAAATATTTACAATATTTATTTTAAACATTTAACTGACCCTGTCTCTTATTGTAATACATTCACCAGCACAGATCTCTGATCAGCATGCGTGTAACATTAAACTTCAATGGATTTTGTAACAGGAACCTTTGGTATCATCCAAGTCCAGGTCTTCTGAGATTGTCCATGGTTCACTCTATGGACTTTCATGTTTTTAGGCTGTGGTGTTTGATCACCTCTGGTTTGCTGGAACAGGATGTGGATATTTATATGGACTGGATTATGTCTGACTTGGCTGTTCTTGATCTGGGATTTGGCTACTTTTGGTTAGGACTTGTAAGTCATGTTTGGAGCGTTCCTAATTTGTCTTAACTTGGAGCCTAAATTTAGGGTATTATTGGCAACTTGGTCTTGTCTTGTAATTTGTTGCAGAAGTAGCCTTGGGATGTCATGTTGGATTAAACTAATTTGGAATTAGATGAGGGGATTTTTCAATATTGAACTTAAGAATCGTAAAATGTGATTTCCAAGGATTTAAGATATAAATCAGGACCGTGTTGATCCAGGACACTGAGTTTGGGAATAGCTTACCTTAATTTGAAGTCTAACTTGACTTATCTTTGAAAATGGGACTAGCCTGATTCAACTGACTTGAGAAAATTCCAGTGATTTGAGACTAACTTTGCAGAATTAATGCAGAATTAAACTTTATCCCAACTGTCTACGGGTTTGATTTATGTTGGTTAGGTGGTTAGGTCTGGAATAGTTTGTTTTGGGTTGACTGGATTTCCTATGTTTTATTTAGCGTTGGTTTGTTGGTTGTGTTTGATTTGTTTTAGTTTTGTTTGGATTGATTTGGCTCGTTTGCTTTATTTTAGTGCATTTGGGTTGGGTTATTTTGGGTTTGCTTAGTTTTCGTTTGGTTTGGGTTGGGTTGATTTGGTTGAATTTGGAGAGTTCGTCTTGCTTTGGTGACGCTGCCCTTTAACCGATCTGGGTTCTGTCCTCCTTGTGCCGATGTACAAATGCATCATACTGTTATTCCCTCCTTCAGTTTCACAGAGTGTCCCTCCTCCTGGGTCTCCAGTGCAGATTGTACCTCAGTCCATACGCACCCCACCTGCTGACAAGACCAGGAGAGCTCCTCCTCCAACACCACCCAAACCCAGGCGACCAAGTTAGTACAGGCCATTGACAGGATGCAACTGGAGCCTGCCTGCACTAGCCTGGTCTTTTCGACTCAAACTGTCTTCACTTTGGCCCCATATGGATGGAGGTTCCCTGCCTTACAGCATGTCCTGGCACTGCTTCATCCTGAGCAGCTTGTTCTTTTTCTACATCTCAGAAACTGAATGTGGTAGTCTAAAGCCCTTTTTGAATGACATCAGAAATAATTAGGAATTATTTAAGTTCATCATTATTTTATCATTATTATTTTATTACACTTTAGTTCTGTAGAAATTCAAGCTTAATAATTTACATTTGGGTTGGTTGTGGTGTTCTGGGATGCATTTCATCAAAACTATCTATCCTGAGAACATGTTGTTAGGTCAGTAGGTTGATAAAAGCAGCAAAGAAAGCAATTCCAAGTAACTCAAGCTATTTACTGCTCAGTTTTTTGTTTTTGTTTTGTTTTTTTAGCTCCATTGCCCACAGATTCAACTTTTCTGTCAGCAAAAATCCAGAATATTCTCCTGAGTGGGTTAGTATGTGTGATGGGTCACGTCTTGTAAACATTTGGAGACTTTTGTTTGATTTAGATGGTTAACAAAAAATCTACAAGAACCGTTGAGGGCTGGAAAACGACACTGACAAAGTAGCCCAAGAACAGCTCAGATTTTCTTGGTATCACTTTTAATTTTAAGAAATTTTGTAGAATTGAACAGGGTTCAACTATATAAGGAGGTATTAAGAAAAAGTGTGTCATGAAGAAGATTCTGGGTTGTTTTATTGGTTTGAATCTGTAATTTGAATAACAACTAAACAGAATAAGAAGTGTTAATAACATCTTAGCAAAACAACAAAATTAACCACTTTAAAATAAAGTGGTTAGCAAGTGACTTCACATAATTATATATAATCAAAGAAGAGGCTTAAATGCCAGAGTGATCTTCTACTTGCTCCTCCCCAACATCATCATCAACCCTGCCTGTTCTTCCTCACGTCGCCTCCAGTAACTCTTCCTTCTGCAGCTAACCGACGCTCTATCCTCTGAGTGCATCGTGTTCTCAAATCTGATGCTTCAAACTTAAGTTTAAGTTTAAAGAACATATCAATCTATAGCAAGTTTTTCCTTCTGTTTGCTATTAAGTTTGTGTGTATTTTGTATTTTTCTTGAATCTTCAGCTCTGAATTCTGATTTCATCACGTCTTCCTCTTTGCTGCTTTTCCCTTTCAGCCTCAGCAAACTGCATTTTATGGCGCTGATCAGCTGACTAATGAGAAACTCGTGCTGCTCTGTGTGTGTGTGTGTTGTTAGTATATTTTAGTTAGAATCACTGTGTACTGTTGTACACACAGTAATCATTTGAGTTCAATCAGCTGTGCACTGATCAGTCTGAGAGAGTAAATGAGTAACCTGTGAGATTAACTATTAATTTCTGAGACCAAATTAACTCCAACTCAGCCCTCCATTTCAAGCTTCATAGCTCCTCCATGATAGCAGCCGACTTTATGGCTTCAGCTGGAGGAGGCAGTTGGACAGATAAGACAGATTCTGATGATTCTCCAGGAGATTCAGTGTAGGATTACATAGGAAGTATGAAACAGGCTCTGTGTGTTTGTGTGAGTTTCATTATCATTTGAGCGTCGTTTCCCAGTCTTAACCTCCATCTGACTGATCCTTGCAGCCTGTAACCCAAATGCCTGCAGAGCATCTGGCAGAGGTCTGCAGCCGAAGGGTCTGAGAGTGAAAGAATTGGCAGATTTCAGAGTTTACACCAAAGGAGCCGGCAGCGGGGAGCTCAAAGTCACCGTAAAAGGACCAAGTAAGACAGCAAGACTCACCAACCCATGAGATTCACCAACTGGAGCTAAAATCCCTTTAAGGAAACACATTTAAACACAAAACTGAAGAGAACCCCTCTTATTTTTAGTACAGAACACTGACTATAGCTGATATTTGTGAGATTTTTAATGATGGATTCAGCACAGTATGGCCTTTCCAGAATATCCAAAAAGAGGTTTCTCCTGTGTATGTACATTTGTGAGTGTGTTTTACAAAATGTTTTTATTTTTGGTAATTGGCTTTATTTTCATTTGAAATTTAGCTCAGTAAAGGTGGGCTGATTGTGGATTATGTTTATTTTTAATATAGAGGGCCTGGAGGAGTCTGTGAATGTGCTTGAGATGGAAAATGGCCTGTATGAGTGTAATTATTACCCCGTCATGGCAGGAAAGTACATCGTAACCGTCACTTGGGGCGGACACAGCATCCCTCGCAGGTGAGGTTGATGGAGTGATTATACATACTATTACATTTTGGGGAGTTAACAGTGTTTATTACAGCTGTGCATTATGTCACATATAGTAACAAATGCATGCATTTTAATCATTTGGCCATGTGATGCCATATAAAACTAAAGATATTGAGGATCCAAGATTGAACCCTGAGGTACTCCAGTGACTTGTGTGCATAAATGTAAACATTTTTTTTAATCTGAAATAAAGATAAAAACTAATCAATTCGTTCTGTTTTTCCAGCCCATTTGAAGTTTATGTCAGTGAGGAGGCAGGGCTTCAGAAAGTGAGAGCCTGGGGTCCAGGTCTGGAGACCGGTATGGTGGGGAAGAGTGCTGACTTTGTGGTGGAGGCCATTGGAACTGAAGTGGGAACTCTCGGTTAGTTACAATAACATAAAGATGGGACTCAGGAAAACGTTAAGAGCTTAAGGTGCTGACTTATGGTCAAACGCAATCCACAGTACTTCAACATCTTGTTGAAAAAATATTTTTAAATTTAATAAGGATGTAACATTTCTGCTGCATCTATCAAACGAAACGAGACCAATCATATTACAGGAAATCTAACACCTCATATGTTTCAGTAAACAGCTACCAAACAGAACTCCACATCTTTTATTTGCTTAAGTGGTCATGGAATAACAACCTGCAGACCTACTCCTTATCAACAGTCTGGTTACTTTTGAGCATCTGAAAACAGGGCATTGTGTGTAAGATGTTTGCCACTGTCCAAAAGCCTCTGGATCTGATGGTATATCCTGCTATTTCTGTGAATATTTGTGTGTCATGTAAAGTATTGAACTCCATGGGCAGATCCCATTGTTTTCACATTCATCACTGATAGGCAGTGTTTAAATAACAGCATCTATGTGTAGGTTTCTCTATCGAGGGGCCCTCCCAGGCTAAGATTGAGTGTGATGATAAAGGCGATGGATCGTGTGATGTTCGATACTGGCCGACTGAACCAGGCGACTATGCCGTCCATGTTATTTGTGATGACGAGGACATCAAGGACAGTCCCTTCATGGCCCACATCCTCCCTGCTGCCAGTGTCATCTTCCCTGAGAAGGTCAGATCAGAGCCTTGTTGAGTTTCAAACATTTTCCTGCATGTTTAATTTTTAAACATGTGATGTGTTTACTTCCTCAGGTGAAATGTTACGGTCCAGGTCTGGAGCCTTTGGGCTGCATTGTTAACAAACCTGCTGATTTCACCATTGATACCCATGGAGCTGGCAGAGGAGAGCTGAAGCTCTATGCTCAGGTGAGGATTCAGAGGCAGCCTCTCCGTAATGTTTTAATAACACATTAACATCTTTTCAAAATCACACCAGTGTAAATCTGTTTGTGTTGTAGGATTCAGATGGTTTCCCCATTGACGTCCAGATCACAGATAATGGAGACAGCACCTACTTCTGTGTTTACATTCCCACAAAACCCATCAAACACACCATTATCGTCACCTGGGGTGAAGTCAACGTCCCCAACAGCCCATTCAGGGTATAAAACCAACACCAAATATAGTCTTACATTAAAGTCACTGAAGTATATCCTTTAAATCTGTTAATCCCACTGACAATGTCTGCAGTTTGTTGCAGTGTAAACTGGTCAATCATTAACACGAACATACAAATACCTTGCTCTTTGAATTATTACCAACTTACAACAGACACTATGTGAGATTAGTTTTAGCTTTGTTTTTTGTTAGTAATCAGTAAAACATTAAATGGAAAAAACTAAATTAACCTTTAACTTAAGCAGATGTCTGCTAAACACGATTTCTATTCGTTGAAGGACAAAATGCTGTCATGTAAATACAGAACTTTAGGGGACCCATAATAGAGCCTTGAGGTACTCCGGTGGCTGCAGTGTTTTAATAATAGTGTGTCGAGAGCTCAGTGTATCACCTCAAATGTTTCTTAGCAGAAAAAGATGAGTTTAAAATTTTCCTTAAAAGCATGGATGTTTATATTCCATGATTTCTTCCATATTTCAGCTTTTGCATTTATTTGTTAGAGTCTAGATAGAAGCCAGGTTTATTGTTGCCAACAATGATGGTAATGTTGTGAATAAGGTGACTATCGGAGAGGGCAGCCATCCAGAGAATGTGAAAGTTTACGGTCCAGGTGTGGAGAAGACAGGACTGAAGGCCAACGAGCCGACTTACTTCACTGTGGACTGCAGTGAAGCCGGACAGGGTGAGACCTGTTTCATGTCTAATGTCCTCTTTTCATGTCCCGCCACCACAATGCACGACACATAGGAGATTGTTTTGTCTTTCTGATCGTTGAGCTTGATCTCCAATGAATGACTTTAACTCAGATTCAGACCAGCTGTGCAGCACACAAACATGCTGTAATGCCAAGTTTTGTTTTTATGAGTGTAATTAGAAAGAAATTAAATAGTACAGGAATACTGCTACATGATGTTTGAATATTACTGCAGAAATAACCTTGAATCTCTGTAATAGAGTTAATTATTATTTCCCTGCAGGTGATGTCAGCATTGGCATCAAGTGCGCTCCAGGTGTAGTCGGACCTGCCGAGGCTGACATCGACTTTGACATCATCAAGAACGACAACGACACATTCACAGTGAAGTACATGCCTCCGGGTCCCGGACAGTACACCATCATGGTGCTGTTCGCTGATCAGGTAAATGAGGGGTCAACAGTTGGATCAAATCTTAAATGCACATCTATGTTAAAACTGAATTTAAAAAAAACATCTCACACTTATTGTGTAAAACAGGAAATCCCTATTAGCCCCTTCAGAATAAAGGTGGATCCTTCCCATGATGCAGCCAAAGTCAGGGCAGAGGGACCTGGACTCAACAGGACAGGTGAGCTGGGTTTTATCACATTTGCGATCAATACAACACAAAAATCAGATACAAAACTGTGGAAGTGTTACTAATCACGTCCACATACAGGGGTCCACGAAGAGACCTGGTAATTAGTAAACCAGAGCTCAGACTTCTTGGATGGTCTCTTAGTACAGTAATCACACAGCAGCCATTTTATTGGTTGGATGATCTCATATAACCCAGACCAGAAGCTGCTGCTGGCCTTCTACTGCTACTCAGTGGAGAGCGTGATCTCTTCCTCCCTGGTATGCAAGGGCCACAACTGAGTACAGGAAGGCTGCGCAGAGAGTAATTAACACCACCCAAAAAGTCACTGGCTGCCCCCACCCCTGTCCACCCATCCACAAATCTAAACAATGGTCTGAGTAACCCTCATCACTCAGGCCACTCACACACAGACTCTGTTCAGACCAAGTCTTTTTGCACTACTTCCAAGCACTTTGTTCTCTAATTTGTGCCTTTCTCTTTTTTTATATATTACCCTCTTGATTGTATATATTTTTCTGTTTTCTATTGATTCCAGCTGCCTACTATTTATAATTTATTCTGGCACAACTAGGGTGGAGCACCCACAGTTTTGATTTATATGTACAATGACAATAAAGGGTTATTCTATTCTATTCTTCTAATAATACAAACTTTAAATAGTCTAAAAAGACTGTATCAGACTATAAACATCTATATCTGTTGTAAAGTTGGACATTTTAATCTTTAATTAGTCTGTTAGGACTGGCTCACTGCTGGAGCCCCTGTTCCCATCAGGGGGACAGCAGGTTTTAGCTTGTTATCTGTATTAAATTAGATAAAGTAAAATTTTATT